ACCCACCGAGAAACTCAGGGCGTCACGCCCGTCTGCGGTGCCAGGTGTGTGGGCGACGCACCACTTCATTACACAAAGCCTTGAAACACAGGAGTCGCCATCTCAAGCAGGCAGCATTCCAGTGCCACAAATGCCAACATCGCTTCTGGAACCCATGTCTCCTGACCCGCCACAGGTTCTCCTGCCGGGGGGCGAGCACTGGCAGTGTTGCTGAAAACTGGGAGCTGACGAGGATGAAATCAGTGTCAGTTAGTGACCACTCTCCAGTCCCGCTGACAGTTCCGGGTCTGGCCCAACCTGAGAGATCAACAGTTCTGACTGAATACAGTCAGTAACATAAACTGTCTTTTTTTAGACTAGATTGTTTTTTGATGTTTATATTTTATTAAATAATCCAACATCTTAGCACGTTTTTAACAAAATAGGGTGGGGACTGAAAGGGGAAGATTTAGTTCAACTACCAGACTATCCCCACCCCTTTATCTGGACAAGCCTTTAAACAATCCCAGTACAACAGCAGAGGTGGTTGATAAAATCACTTGGACTTCTAAAGGCCTAAAATCAAAACCGCCCAAACTATCTGCCTCCTGTTCCTCAAAGGTAAAGGAACTAAAGATCATGTTTGTTTTTTTTTGTAGCATCTGTTTGAAAATTGTCAGTACTTTCCATCATGTTTGTCTTGTTCTAAATCCCTTTTGCCGTGTTTGTGCATCAACAAAAATCGGATGTTTATCATAGGGCTGATTGATGTACCAGTTTATTCTTTATCACATTATTCATAGTTATACTGTGTAGTCCTCATTTAATGCTCTGTTTATTACACTGAACAGATTCACTTTTTATGCTGAGATATTTCCCCTTAATATAAATTAATCTCTTTAGGATCTAATACCAAGTAGCTCACAAAAGTGGCACAGCTTGATGCTAGCTGATTTACTGAGAAGAAGCTGAAACACAAAAACTTAGTCGATCGTTTTTATACTGTACACTACTTTTGTTACTTTTTTTAAAAAAAAATGTGTGAATGAAACACAAACATGACTAAAGCTGTTAACTCTTTCAGGATATGAAAAGGACAACAGAAATAAGTGTACTGTACAATTAGTATTATATTTTATTATATATAAATATTATTTGCTGTTTTTTACTCCCAGTTTTCATTTATCTTATCGTTGCTATTCTAAGTGTGGGAGGGGACGAATTGAGACGTTGTTTGTAAAATCATAATTATATGTATCAATGTGATCATCCCTCCCTTCCTTTTACCTGAAACTCCGTTTACCTGCTCATACACAGTTTGGCTCCATTTTTGTAACAGAAGCATGTACACATAGTTCTTATTTAGGTCCTGTCCAGAAGTGCTTATCCCTTTTTTTTCTGTAAAACTAAACCATGTAATATGACTAAATTACTATCCTTTGCCTAAAAGTGAGTTGTTGAAAAACCTTGAATAAACACCTGAAATGTCTTTTCTTAAGTTTTATTCTGGTAAATCTAATTGTCTCTGTCAAAGAACAGTTGGTTTCATTTTTTTGTAGTATTTCTACATTTAGAATTTATACAGCGTATGAATTAAGTTGTTGCTTTATTTAGCATTTGCTAGTGTCATTTCTGAATGTCTTTGAATTGGTGTCCATTCCCAGTGGTCATTGGACACTTCACTAGTTTCACAGGATGACAAGGAGACACCAAGGTACAATTTAAAGAGAACAATTAATCTAAGGTTCATGTTTTCTGACTGTTTGGCGAAACCCAGAGCACCTGGAAAGAACCTATGCATGCATGGGGAGAACATACATACTCCAAAAGGTTAGAATTCAAATCCAGGACCTCCATCCTGATGAGCTATACCTATGCAAACGTCTGCACCATCATGCAGCCTAAAACAAGTTTTTTTGTGCTGCATTACCGGTAATGAGCCACTAGATGGTACTGTTTACAATGCTAGTACTGGCTCCACCGAAGAAATCCATAGAATTTTAATTTGAAACTTCTTGTCAAAGTACGATTAAACAAAGCTGTTGATGTAAAACACTTCAACGTACATACACTGGTGTTTGTGTAAAGCGAACTATTTCGGCCCTGGTAATCATTTTATGTTCCCTTATGCATACATCATGAAGCAGCAATATAATTTGACACCGAGACCCATAAAACAGGTGCAACAGCTGCTGAATTGGTCTGGAAATTCTTAGGGCTTCAGGTTTTCCAGTCACAAATGTTCTCCAGGACAACAAACGACGGTGTCTATAAACTTTGCCGTAAACGTTAAACATTATTTTGGCTCTTTAGAATAGAATTGAAATATCCTTTATTGTTTCACACAGGGTAAATTCAGGTGTAACAGCAGCATCTGACATATAGGTTCATACAAAAAGATCCAAAATTAATATGTAAAAACAAGATTAACAATAACAACAATGGTAATATACTGTATACATCATCAAATTATATGACTTGACAGCCAAAATGCAACAGGTAAATTATCAATTATAAATTATACACAAGACTTAAGTTTTTTTCTTTTTTTTTTCTTTATAGTATCATAAGAAACATCACATCACAATTGCAACTACTTTCTATTTTTCTGTAAAGTCTTATTTGAATGTTAAACCGTTGAGTTTGAGGAAGTCGACAAGCGTGTAAATGTGATCTTTAATTGAGCCTCCAAAGGAATAAAAAAAAACAACAAACAAACCTCACGTGGCTAGAGCAAGGGGGGACCTTTGGGCGGGGACTCTGACCTATTTTCAACCAATGGGAAGCTAAGAGCGGCTGCGAGTGACCCAGATTCAGCCAATGGCCGTTCGACGCTGTTGCCGATAGGCAATGCTGGGGCGCGTGCGAAGGACATGTGATCGTTCGGAGTTGAGAGCGCGAGGAGCACACAGACCGCCGCTCAAACGATCTTTTAAAATTAGATTAAAGGGTATATCACTAATTTTTATTCAGATGCTGTAAAACACAACCTTTAAAAAAACACATGGGAGTTTTTGTAGGTATCCTCGACAGCGTTAAATTTGCCAGATCATATTGTTGCACTTATGCGAAGTGGCTACATCTGTTTTCTTTGACTCGTTACTGTGGATACAGATATTCAGTTAAAGGCACCGATCAAAAGCAAACGTGAAAGAGTCGTCGTCGTGCGTCTGATTCATAATATATTCTCAGTCCGCGGTGTTTGCCTCGGCTTTGTGTTCTGCTGTTTACTTGACAGCGTGAGAAAAGAGTAGAGGGGTGGAGTGAAAAATCAGCTCAGAGGCCGATGTTTGGAGCACAACCGACCCAGCAAACACTCGCTATTGGCTGGATCTTCAAGGAGGCGCCATGTTTATGTTAATTATGTTGCATTCAAGGAAAACTGGAGAAGAAAATATTTGCTGTTAAAAAGAAACTGCTGAAAAAAACCCTGGAAAGATGACAGATTTTATAATATGTTGTATACTTAGTGTTCCTAAAGTTAATAATGAAGTCAGATATGTTAAAATGTTTTTCCTTTGTAAACGTTTTTTTTTCACCTTTTTTAGATTACTGTATATTCAGCTCATAATATCTAAAAATTTGGGCCAAATAAGTTACCTGGCAGAAAATTGTTATAAAAAGGGGCGTGCTCCACATGTATTTTTCAATATTTCCTGTATAAAGTACAGTGGACCCCAGATATTCACGAGGGATACGGACCACAACTGACCACAAATAGCTAAAAAGAAAAAAAAAAAAACATGTATAACTGCCTATTTTAATAGTTCATGTCCCAAAAAAATCTAAATGTATCCATGAATACTGAAACATAAATACATAGGAGTTTAGTGTTTGTAAATTGGTTTGAATTTTTCCCCCTAAATTAGTGGAGACTCTGGTTGTTGGTGATGCACAACTCTCTTTATTTTTCTTTCCAATAAAAAGTAATAATAATGTACTAAAAAATAAATAATTTACACCAGAGCATTTAATTATATTTTATATATAAATGCAGGACATTTTGTTTAATTAACTTTGGGCTGCTTGAAGACCTCTGACTTTCTGAGTTGAAATTCTGACCTCAGGTGTCATTCTTGCTCTTTTTCCAATTTGCAACCATAAATATCCAACTTCCAAGTATAAATGGAATGAAAACTCAGCTCAAATCGAATAGAGAGCTGCAGCTACCAAGAACTAATTCAATTCAGGTTTTTATTTTGTGTCTATTCACACAAAATTTTCAAATACAAACATGTCAAATCCTTATCCACTAATATAAAAATTCCTAATAAAATCAATTCAGTTCTTAATTGAATTGTCATTAAAATTATATATGATTCAAATGATATGGACATAATTAATTTAAATTGCATGCATTTCAATTCAGTTTGCAAACAAAGATTTGAAGCTACAGACATATAACTCTTGAAAAGTTTGACACATGCTATTGCTAAGATATAAGCACATCAACTTAACATTTTTGAAAAAAAAATTGTAAATGAAATATTAACACAGAAGAGAAATAAGACAATTACAAAACACCTGAAGACTAAACATTTATGAAGATATTTGTTATTGTCTTAGTTGACATACAAACATATTTTGACTCATTTAGTTGGCGTTCCGCTGCATGTTAACTGAGTTATAATTAAAAACTTTAAATTGCATAAAGAAAAAATATTCCAGCCAACTGAGTTGCATTAATTAATAAGTATGAACATGTAAGTTTCCACCTCACTTGCTGCTTTATAAACATTTTAGAAAAAAAGATCAATATGTAAAAATGTGGGGAAACGATTTAAAAGAAAGACTAAATGAATATTTGTTAAATGTAAATAAAATCTAAATACAATAATAAAAAAAAAAATGTTTCTTTTTACATGCTGGCAGGAAAAAACTCTTATTTACCACCTTATCCGTGTGCTTGAATGCACAAGGGTAGATTTTAAGTACGTCGGGGGGGGGGGTGTAGTTTTGGGGTTGTGGGCGTGGCCAACGTATGCAAACGATCCACGCCTCCGAGCGCCTTTCCCCCGTGAGCGGTGACGTGACGCGAGCAGCCCGTGTTGGTTCCAGCTGACAGGCGGAGGGAGAAAAGCGAAAACCGAGGAAAAAATGCGCGAGTGTGTGTGTGCGCGTGAAGGTGAGAGAGGGAGGGAGCGCGAGAGAGAGAGGAAAATAAGAGCCATCATCTAGCTGGCTCTCTCCACTACTGGATTTTATTATTTTTTCTTTCGGGGGGAATCTCTTTATTTCTCTTTATTTCTATCATCGCATCATTTCGATCATTTCACCTCAGATTTGATGGATTATTCCGCCCTGGAGACTTCCCACCGCCGATTCTTCATATTCTGCTGATTCTAATCATCTGTCTTCGCTCAGTGCACGGGACTACCTTCAGCCGCCTTCTTTCCTGCTTTTATTATTACTGTCACTGTTTGTTGCTTCCATCTGGAAGGGAATTTTTAGGGAACCTGTCAGGCTGACAGCCGAGCTGGACCGGTTTTGTTTCCACAAGCTCGAAGAGGACTTGGATCAGTCGTTTATAAGTGCGTCGGTGTTTGTTTCGAGAGGAACGCGGTTACAGCAACTCCAGAGGGATGAATTAAACCTGCTCAGCATGCTGCCATTTTGGAGATAGACCCCCTCCCGCCCCACCACCCTCAGTTTTTAAATTTTAATTTCTTTTTGCACATTTTACATGGGCCGAGGGGAAAGCGGGATATCAAGAGATCTCACGCACGCCTCACCTGTCTGCGCACCTTTTTTACGGCGCGCGCGTTAACTACAATCTCTGAGTGGATTATTTTGATCTTGAGCTCCAACTCTGCAGGTTGCTCCGCTCCATCTCCCTCCACCTACCCCCTCCTCCTCTTCCTCCTCCTTCTTTTCCCTAGAAGTTATGTCAAGGCCTCTCACGCAGCTCCTGCCGCCGGATCTCCCAGCAGGGGCCACCAGCCCGCAGTTTGGGGCCAGCAACCCTGCTGGAAGTGGCCCCCAAGGCGGTCACCTGACCTCCATGACCAACCTGAAGTCTCTACTCCAGCTGCCAATCAAGGCCGACCAGAGGGTCACCAAGGACTGCTGCGAGATGAAGGGTGAGTGAGTTCACGTGAGAGCAGAGGAGGGGTTCCTAAAAGCATGGGAAGTATTAAAGGGAAACACCTCAACCAGGGAGCCAGTGCTGGGATAGCACACAGAAATGAGCAGGAAACAGGAACAAGAAGTTCTCAAACACCTGTCAGTGATGCTTGGATGCGCCTTAAGGTGTTTATACGATGCATTAAATGGATCCAAAGCAAGCATGATAAAATCTAACAAGAACATTTGTAACGATTTGCATTTATTTTACTTATATTTCTGAATTCTGAATATTTAATCACTGAAAACCCCCATCTTATTGAATTATAATCAATTATAACTGAACTTGTGTTTAAAATAATTTCACCTAGCTGGTTTAACCTCCCATATTAAAAATTAAGATAAAAAACACAGTCTTAACACATTACTGAGACATTTGAATTTATTCTATGAAATATGTAAGCCTTTTTTCCTGACAACTATAAGTGTAATTTATTTTAAAGAGCAGGGATTCCTTGCAAGTGTGATTTCAGCAGTCATGCTGTCACTTAAATAGCCAGATATCAAGAGTCTCATTAATAGTCTGTTGTGATCAGGAGAAAATAAGCAGGTAACTTTAAATTTTTGGATAAATGATATATTTTGTCCCCTGCGAGTCACTGTAGTATATGAGAGACTTGTTATTGTAACATTATGCACAGCATATAACCGTTCTCCACATTGTTTCTTTACAATACATGCCAGTAAAAGGAGTTAACAGCAGTTTTCAAATTTGAATGTTTTTGTTCCTTTCATCAGGTAGAACTGAAGCCAAAGACCGCGATGTTTGTGCATATTAAGGGTGCGTTTGATTTATTAGTCAGGGACATTCCCCATTTTGGCTATTACTGCTTTATAATAATCTGAGATTTGTTATTAAAGACTTTGGGTTGTTTCAGAACAAAACAGACTTAGCATACCTCCAGCATTTTACACTCTCTCTGTTAAGCTCACACCTCTATAACAACGGTTTTCCGCTCTTGAAAACAAGCACTTCCTGTTTCATGTTGCCAAAACTTCAACGTTAATGGTGTTAAACCTTTTGAAACATTTTTCTTCCAACACCAGTTAGGGTAGGGTTAGGGTTTTTGGAGTTAAATCACCATTGAAAATTGTACTTGCAAGCTAACATGCTATATAAAAGTGTAAATAATTCAGCTGGCGGTAAATACTTCAACAAATTCAGTTTTATAGTGTACATTTTACTCTCCAGTGGAAAGCCTGGAGATTTGTAAAGAGCAGTAAAAAATGTTTTTGCATTTGCTCATGTTTTATTTGCCTAATTTAAAATCCACTCTCCTCTAATTTTCTACTTTTTAAATTGAGGCAAACACTATAATAACAAGGTTTGGATTTCGACATTTAACTTTTGCCATTCTTCTTTGCAGATTTGGAAAATAATTACCTGGTTGAGTCTTGTTCTGAAATGCAAACAAGCATTAATCATTATAGAGTCTCTCAGAGGAATATTCTGGGGGATTATTCATGGGTGTATGCATGTGTGTGTGCATGTGACTGTGTGGGTATGTGTGATTGTAAAATACAGAGGAGCTGCTTACTCAACACACTCACATGCACACTGGTTTCCCTTCAGCACTCTGTCTGCAGGCCTGCTGGATTTTTTTAGAGACTTTTGTTTTGCATTTGGTGGTGAAATGCACTGATCTGGAGGAGAATGAGGGGAAAAAAAGAGTGGTTGTTTCTGTTGAGTCTGATTCTCCTGACTGTTTAGAAAGAGGTTAGTGAGAGGAATTGAATTGTTTCCCATGCCCCAGCTGCCACGACAAAATATTAACCAGGCTGCTTCTTCTTTCTCTCTGGCTGTAGAGATGTCATCGCTGCTAAAACATACACATGCACACACACACACACACACCTGATAGGGTGGCTTTTTAAGTTTACATTGATCCTCCAGCTGATTACTCTTCTTTTGCAAACATCTCAACTCTTATCTTTTAAAACAGCAAAAATTGTGTCGCAAAACCAGCCGTCTTTGGACTAGTGGTGTCCTGCAAATCAAGTCCTTACTAAGAGTAGTGAAAAGTGAACACACACAGATGTAGGAAAACAACAGAGAAGTTGGCCAGCGCAATTTGGCGACCCCTGGTGGTTTGTTGGTGCAGCTGCCGCTCTTTCCTCTTGATTTTTTTTCCCCTCTGTGCATGAGGAGGAGGATGATGATGGTGAGCACAGCTGACAGGCTCTCCGAGGAGCCAGAAAGCATCTGAAAGGCTCCCACTACCCTCGCTGTCAGCGCGTGCTGCATTCTCTGCTGATAGGTGATGCATTCAGGGGCAAACCAAGGAAGGCTTTTCCTTTTCCAGTTTGCCTCTGGATCTTGTTGCCCTTCCCCTTCCTCTGTTCATAGTGGACTCTTCTGCTGTGTTTTTACCCCTCTGCCCCCTGGCTGGCTTTGTTTGACGCCTTCGCAAACACCCACTCCATCTCACACATTTCTCTCCCTCTCTCCCACATGTCTTTGAGTTTTTTCCTCTGTCTTGCTCTCTTCTCGCCTGATCCCTCTGTTTTTCACTCCCCAAGACTCCCTCTGCTCATTTACATCTTCTCAGGGTTTGTTTTCCTCTTTTCAGTCTCCTCACTGTGGCTCCTTCTCCAAAGTCATTCATCTCTTCTGTCTTTCTTGTTTTCTCACTCTTTTTTTTTCTTGAATGTCTTTCTTAGATTTATTCAAATCATCCATCTTTAGAGCTCTTGCCCATTCTTTCTGCTGTATTACATTCAGTTTAAGCCCTGGTGCACTTTAATGACTTGTCCACATTAGTTCAAAGTGTCACTATCGCTTAAATTAAAGGTGCCACTTTGCACGTATTCCTACCATCTACTTGCCCTCTGTAGCTGAAGTAGATGGTAGTCGATGGTAATGTAGCTGAAGTATTACAGCTGCCTTATAGAGAAGATCTTTGATGACTTTCTGTACAGTTGATTTTGGGTTATTTTCTTACTTTATTAGGTTTATGCTGCTGCTTGTTACGGGGTACTGTAAAAACACAAGCACTGATTGGCTGATTTATTTTGTTTTTCCAACCATTAAACTATCAAAATGTCCCTCACCTCCTATTGTTGTTGCACAGCTGCACTGCTGTGTCTTACATATTTCAAACTACAAAGTGTTCCAGCTTCTTCTGCAAACAACAATCTGCTTCATAAAGTGATGAACCCTGAAGGAAAATAATAAATGAAATGAATGCTGATGGTATTCAAGACAACAACAAAAAAAGAGGACTTTCCTCTTCATGTTCTCATTATTGAACTGCTCAGAGTTCCATGAAACGAAGTGTGAATCATTTCGGGGGACTTTAAATATTTCAGAGACACCACGCTAATTGGGCACTTTAATCGCTGCCTCTAATTTATTAGTAGTAAAGAAAACATTTCTGCTCAACTTAATAGAGCGAAGGAGTTCAGTAGGCTCAGCAGGTGCCTCTGGGTAACGTTTAGATCATCGTTCTGCACCTGTGACCTGGAGTTAGAGAAAAAACACCCTGCAGGGTTCCTCTGAAGACATCTGCTTCTATAAATACCTTCTTCTTATAAATAGTTAAACACATCTTTGATCGTGATGACATACAGGCTTTTATGCCTTCAATTGCAGCACTGTGCAAAAATATTAGACCAGCCTGCCGTTTCTGTGTCCTCATTCCAAGCTGTCAGAGTTAATTTGATTGTTTTGATCATTCCTCAAGGCTCTTTGATGACCTTTTAAAGCACCCTCTGAAACCACTCTCACTGGCCACTTTATTAGGTATACTTGCTTAGCAGACACTTAACTCAGATAGTAAACAACTTAACATTGAGCATTTCGGAAACTGCTTATCTACTCATATTTTTATGCAGTGCCATATCTCAGGTTTACTAGTACTAGTTTAAGTGACAAATTGTTTTGCATATAACAGAATATTTTCCCCATTTTATAATGAAAATAATCTGCCAGTGGAACTAGTACTTTTTCAGCAATTATAAGGAATTTCTTACTTAAAACAAAATATCTTGCTGAAAAATTACTTGTAAGTTAGCTTTGTCTTAATTCAAGTGCATGAAGATATTTGCACTGGAAACTAGAATAGAAATACTGGAAAAATCCAGTAAGTGCATATTAAATAACACTATAACTACACTTTGAGTTTGCAATAAAGTCACACTCCTTAGAAGCAAAATATCAAGAAAGGAGGAATTTCTCAATCAGTTGGTAGAGATATGAATCCAAACAAACAACAGACCAATCTTGAAAGCGACCGCTTAAACAAGAGCTAAAATGATCCCTTCTTCCTCTTGTTGTGACAGTTTGTTATCCTGCCATTGGTGGCATGTTTAATTTCCCCTCCTGGTGTTTCTCTCCACTCTGTGGAATAACTCAGAAAAATTTGGAGAAAGCTGCCAGGCAGGTGGTAAAGATGCTGCCGTGGAGAGATTAGAACGAACACAGTGGCCTGTGTCCTCTCCTCCCCGTCTCTCCGTTCCTCCGCAGCTGTTTTCCAGCTGTATTCACTCACGTGTTAAAGCTCTTCACTTCTTGGCTGCTGAGAGACTCTTCCACAGTCATTCTGTCCTGCTCCATTTTCTACCCCCTTCTTCCTTTCTAAATAAGCTCTTTTGGTATTTCATCACCTTTCTAATTTAGTGTGCCACTTATTTGCATACAGTGGTGACGTTGCCATTCTTTAGAGTAACACTAATAGAGAACCATTGCATGACATCATTGCTCCATGTATTTATTTACTGACTCATTTTCCTTGCCTTCCATGTATAATGTGAAGGATTTCCTTTTTTGTGGTGATGGTTTATTGATGCGGCAAGCCCGCATCTGTCTTTCCATCGGTCTCGCTGCCTCTCTGTGGGGTCAAAGTGTGAGGCTGGTCAACTTTATTTTTAGATGCCTTTTAATGATTACAGCTAAGTGCTTCTGGAGAGTGAGGGGGAAAAAACGAGAGAAAAAAGGAGAGGAAAAAATGAGTGGAAACAAATTTCTCAGCTGCTTGTAGAAGTGTTATATTTTCTTGTCTTAGTGTAGCACATTAGCTGTGGAAAGCCTCCACAAAAAATGAGACCATAATACAAAATTCATAACCTCATAATCTTTCCCACATATATTTTTACATTTATCCTGAACTATTGAGCTGAAGAACAGACATTATTTTGGAAGAAAAATAAAGAAAAAGATACATAAAAACGTCACAATAACCTAGTTGTTTAAAAGTGTGTGTTGAATCACGTTTCAGTTCGGTTTCAACACTCAGCAGCAGAATTTCAGATTTCTTTCATAGGAATATTTTAGCATCTTGACTTGACAGCATTTATGCCATTTAAATTCATATATTCCATATAATACATAATGTTTCAGGACCATGGACAGTGCACAAGAATGAGAACAACACAGAGACGCACAACCATGCCCACACGCACATGTTTATTGGAGAGACCAATAAACATAACGTTTATGTTTTTGGACTGTGGAAGGAAAGCCGGAGTGCCTGGGGAAAACCAATGCATGCACTTGAAGAACATGTGAACTACATGCAGACAGATGCTAGGAACATCCTACCTGCAAGGCAACACTGCTACCCACCTGTTTGAACAATTATGACTAAATTTCTTATTTGAATCTGACATAAAACCAGAAAATGCACTGAAAAAAATCAATAAGAAGAGCAAAATCTTGGTATGGTGATTTTTTTGCTGAGTGTAGAGTAGATTTAATCAGCGACTGAAAGGCTTGGCTGTGTGAGGTAATGTGTCATCGCTGTGTTCTGCCCACTAAAGATCAAACCTGTTGAGTGTTTTGTTTTCTCCTTTGCAAAATGCTGCCATTATCATCTTTTATTTGGAATTTTAAAGCATTCTTATTGCAACTCTGCAGCTGTTCTGTTGAGGGGAAGAACAGCTGTGAAATGAAGTGGCATTTTACTGCATTGTTTTGACAGGCCTTTGTTTAGTGTTTAATAGAAACATCAATAAATCATTGCACATCGTGGTTAGAGGGCAGTTTAAGAGGAACAAACTAATTAGATCTCAGTGGAGGAGATAATCAGGCCTCTGCCTTTGTAATTAGAGTCCCTGTTTAATGTATTCATTGTCTAATTGCTCTGTTTCCATTTTTCCAACATAATAGTTCCAACTTGTCTCACCTTGTCAGAATAGAGCTGATTTTGAGATTTTATTTGACCAAATAGATCCCAGCAACTCAGAGAATGGATCATTTTTCTGACCTTTACTTGTCAAACACAATCAGTTTCATTGGACTGTTTTCTGAAATGTCCTTCCTTGTCTTCCTCCAGACAAAGACAAGCCGCAGGACTCTGATGAAGACTCGCTGGGCATCAATAACGGGGGCCCCGGCGGGACGGGAGGGACCCCAGGCTCCGGCCCGCTGCGACCCAACTCCCAGTCGGCCTTCCTGGGGCCCCTGCTGTGGGAAAGGACCCTTCCATGCGACGGAGGCCTCTTCCAGCTGCAGTACATGGATCTGGAGGAGTTCCTGACTGAGAATGGGATGGGCATGCACAGTAATGGGCCCAGCTCAACCAGCGCCCAAATACCCTCCCAGGTAGGATTATGACACATGGAAACCACTGAAGGTGTGTCCGAACTGCTGACTCATTTCCACTGAGCAGTACGGCCGTTTGGTAGGCTGTTTTGTCTGTTCCTACTGTAAAAGCAGCCGGTATAACCGACCCATGCCGCACCGTTCTGCTCAGTGGAAACAAGGCGAAGGATTGCAGCTGCTTTTTGACATTAAAATGTATAAAAACAAAGGAAGCTTAAAAGAAATATTTATTTAGGCAAAATGTTATTCTTTCACTGAAAAACATAGCTAAAGCAGACCTTTAGTTTGAGTGTTTGTATTCAAAGAGAAAATTATTTTTTTTGTATCATGTATAAATTTATTTTATAAAAAGAGTAACTGAAGCTGATAATGTAATTCCTATCTCACTTTTTCAACATGAACCGAACAGAACATTCTATATGTAATCCATGACTTTTCTGTTTCTTTGTGGTATACATGGGGTCTAATGAAGAGGCTTGTTTCTCTTAGCAACACCTTATAATAGGAAAGACAAGAGAACATCCCATTCAAGTAAGATATATGTGTGTTGATCTCTAAACCTCACTAAAACAATTGCAGAAAATAGTGGCCAGATCTACATAGCAACCACACTCTACACGCCAATTGGTTGTGTGGGAGTCAGGTCTGGGAAAAACAATTTCTTCACAAGTGGAAATGTGTAAAGTTTTCTGCTACTACTGGAACCATGCATGACAGTCAGATTAGATTAATATGGAAATGGTAGCAAACACGGTGATGCTGTGGACCTGTTTCTCTACAACTGGCCTTAGTAAACGAGTGCCTGGTATTATGAACTCTTTGAATTACATTTTAAATGAAAATCTGCCATCCTCCTCCAGAAAGCTGAAAATGGGATTTCATTGTCTCTTTCAGCAGGATTACGATCCAAAACATGTGGCTAAATCATAACAAAAATAGTTCAGAAGACACTAAATGAACCCTCCATGGTGATGTTAGTTTATCGTCCTACGGAAAATCATAAGTGCCTATAAATTATTTACCCACTTGAATGTATTACCTTTTTCTTGCTTTTACAAATCAGTCATGGTCTACATGATCTGCCTTTTAGACAAAGAAAAATAATAATAAAAAAACATCTTTAAAGTCAAAGTAGAAACTGATTTCTACAAAATAATGATGAAAGGGCAGACAACATGGATGATCTTGAAACATTATTCATAGACATGCTGCACTGATGAACCCTGACACCAGGAATTCATCAAAAAGAGAAATATATATATATTTTTTTTAAAGAACTCAGTAATCGTGATGATAGTTTGGATACTTTACTGAATAATTGTTTGGAGTTTATCAAGTAAAATTTAAACTACCTGCTTTAAAATAAAGCTAAATATTTATTTTTAGTCCATCTATACATTCTCACTGGATGGCCAGATCTGTGTGGGACAGATCAAACATGAAACCGATCTAAACATTTCCATGAAGTTTTTACTCTGATTTTCACAGTTTGAAGTTTTCTGCTGCCTCTTCTGCATCCAGCGGAGCAGCTGCTACTCTTCCCTCTCTTTATTCCAACAAACCAGCTTCTAATGTTCACTGCTCAACGTTTGGTTTGATGTGTCGGGTTGGAAACTGTGCGCCGGATTCTCGCAGTGTGACAGTGACACTTCTGTCAAATCTAACGCGCTGCAGGTTCAACTCCCGAGCGGAATGAATAATGACGCTACAAAGGCTAATGTTTCTCTCGCACAGCTACAGCTTTCCTCATCACATGGAGGCAGAGCAGCTGTTCACAGCCGACATCCTCTGCAGTGTCAGATCTTCTCACTTATCTGTCAAATCTGCAAAGTGTTTCCCTAAGTCACAACGTGTCATAACAGGATCAGATGCAAGCATAGCTATTCTTGTCCAGAGTGAAAGTCTTAAGTCATTCCTGTTTTCTTCCTATGTCATTTAAGGAAAGTTTTCCAGGCTTCCTGTGGTTCTTTTATTGTGTTTCTTTGAACATTGGTTGCTTTTTTCCCAACATTGTTTTTGCTTCACTGTTTGGTCTCATTGATTTTCTTGCATATACCATAAATATTGTAGACAACGCAGTGTTTTGGACAGTTTGTCATTCGAAAACAAAATGATTCCCACTGAGCAATAGGCTGATAACCTGACATACAAACTTTACTAGAGCTTTTCTGTTAGGTAGGTTCATTTCAGTGTTAATGGATCCAGAATAAATGAACAGTTGGATATTGTAAGTCAGCTCCCTCCAATGTTCTCACTGTTTCTTCTGGTTTCCAGTGATCTAGAGAGTAATTTATAACTATTAGTTGTGTTTTTGGGAAAAAACGTTGTTTCCGAACTCTTCCTTTTTCGAATCTTCCCAGAGCTCCCAGTCTGCAGTGCCGAACCAAAGCTCCCAGTGTCCTCCCACATCTCCTCCGCCTTGTTCCTCCTCCTCCTCCTCAATGTCCTCTTCATCCTCCTCCTCCTCGCTCCTCGGATTGGAGACCGTTCAGCCACAGGTGCCGCTGCCGCCACCTCAACAGCAGCAAGGCATGATGGGAGGTCCGGAGTTACTAAACGGTGAGTGATGGTGAATTTCCTAACTCCAGAAGGGTTCGGTGATTTGATGGGAATTTGGTCAGTGGATCAATAATCTGTGAATATTTGAGCCACTTTTCGAGTGTTTAGGCCTGGTCTTTTGAATGCTTCATAGATAATTGTTGAATAATTGGGTTTTCTAGTTGTCTGAGGAAAAATTAAGGAAAGTTTCATCCAAAATATATATAAATAAAAACATATTATTCAGGGGGTGACTTGCAGAACTTATTGCTGCTCCCTGCAATTTGACCTGATTTGTGCCCAGTTTTGTGCCATTTTGACTGTTGGAACTATTGTTGTACATTTCCGTTCCCGTCTATTTGTTCATTGGAGCCTGTGATGTTATCTGGGACACTAATGAGGACTAATTTGTACAAACATCACATTAACTAATGTAAATTCAGCAGTCTGATGGCTTGAACAGTAACCAGAGAAGGATTTACTCTAATTATGGCTCTGTATGATAAATGGCTGTGGTCTCTGACCCTCCTTTCAAAAGCCTGTTTTCATCTTTTATAATACTCTGATTTATTGGTTCATCTGCGCAGAGTTTGATGTGAAGCAGAGATACCAGAAACCAGCTCTTCCTCTCTCTTTTCTATTTATTTCTTTTGGCTAAGAGGAGTTCACAACAGTTTCCAATTTTACTAATTCAATCCACAAAGTTCTTCTTCACAAAGCCAGCTTTTGTTAATTCCAGCGAGACCTAAAGATGATCTCTATCCCTTTCCCCGTGATGATTTTGAAATGACAGATAGCCACAGCTCTTTCTTAAATTTCCCCGGATGTATAGACATTTAGAAGAAGGAAGACAGAGTAAGGAGACAAATGTTTAAAAAACAGTTGAACAGAAACTGAGGGAAACCAAATCTCTTAGAGCGCTGAATGAGCATTGCTGTGACACATTCCAGGGATCGTACACCATCTGGAAAATTATGGAGAATTATGGAGAGGTATGGGATTCCATTTCAAACTCAGGTTAAGTTCAAAGAACAGAGCATGGTATGGAGAAATGTTCATCTTTTCAGACTTAATTCATTTTCCCATTCTCCTACATTTTTTATGTATTCATATGTCCATCTTTCCTTTGCTTGCACAGAATTTCCTTTTATTCCTCCATTTCCATTTCTTTTCTTAATTTAAAGTGTTTGAGTTTTATTGTATTTTATTGTATACTTAATTGCTGTTTTGTCTGACAACATGAGGCTCTAATTAAAATGAGAAACAATTGCACTTAGTTGGCTTCTTAAATCTCTGCCACGACCAGTAATTGAGAACAAAACTTTGCGATTTGTGGTGATCTTGTTAGATCTGGGTTCCCAATCTGTAGGGTTGAGACCCTGATGTGGTCCACGAAACATTAAGTTAGGAGGCTTGAAATGATCTTCATGGATCAAGTTAGATTTGGAAGGGACCTAGACCAGCATACTTGCCATTAAGTGTTCAAACAAACAGAAACCAGTGCTCATTAATGGATGAAAATAGCATTATATGAAGCTGTTTTCAGTTGGTTTGTTGGTTGTGTTTTAACTGGCTACAGAAAAGGCCAGAAGTCACTTTGGCTGTTAATGTTCCTTGTTAACCAGAAGCTGAAATGTTTGGCAACTTGTGGTACGAACCCAAACCAAAGCTGTTTCCTCAGCACTAAACAGAGTCAGCAGCAAGGAGATTTCAGTGGTATTGAGCAGAAATGTTTTAATCAGGTTGGAAAAGTCCAGAAAGAAAATGCAGCTGGAGGTGTAGGTGTAATGCTACTTGACACGCCAATGGCTGGCGTTTGCAAAGCAGCTAATCCCGTAGCACCAATCATTTTCCTAGGAACTGATAGGCTCTACACCCAAGAGCAAAAATAATGAAGACTGTAGATGTTAGCTTCTCCCGTAGTTTTAAGAAAGTTTCCACTGTGCATATTCTCACACATTAAGATATATTTAGTATTTTGACTATTAAAATAGGAAAATATAAGCCTTTTTAGTTGAGTCTCAAGTATTCACAAATTTCAGCTATTCACAGACAGCTGTGGTCCCTAAACTCCACAAATACCGGAGGATTCACTGGACGTGGTTTTACTCCTGCCGAGTTCTGCCTGTAGTGCTATTGATATTATTCAACTTAAAGTCCATTTTTAAGATGATGTTAAACTATTTGAATATTTAAATATAACTCATTAGTTTTGTTGCCTAAACCAAAGCAGCCAAGAACTAATTATTTAAATTTACGCACCAACAATTCCAGAATTTCTCCAGTTTGTACAACGGCCTGTCTTTACATTGAACCATCAGTAATAATCATTTCCCAGTATAGCTAAACTTTGTAATTTTATGACAGATTTGTTCTTTTGGATTACACATTTCTTCTACTAACCAGATGCTCTCTAATATATTAGTATAAGAATTTGAGATTGATGGCTCTTAAAGACACAGAATCAGTGACTGAGGAATAAAACAGTTAATAAAATAGTAAAGCTGTTCACTGGGGAACCAAACAAACACTGAAAGCAAAAAGATGGAACAGAAATGGGTTAGTCATCTGGTATTCATAAGTATGGATGGATAATTAAGGGAGATTCAGATAATTCAGAACAGTTTTCCCACATTTCAGTGATTATTTTGCAAAACAAATGTTGGAGTGAAATGTTGCATCCTTAAATCACCTTAGAAGTTGATAAAATCCAAAGATGTCCAACAAAACAAACGGTTTCTGCTGAGGTTTTAGGTAAACCACTCAGGATCTGTGAACCTGTTAGTCTTCCTTTGTTTGCATGGATTTCCCAAAATGCCCAGCTTCAATGCGAAATACAGGATCTTCAAAAATGTAATAAGTCGTGCAAGTTTTGAATCTGCCCCTTTCATCTTCTGCTTGTCCTGTTGCTATGATGTGAAGAAAATACCTGCCTGACCTCGTTACTTAAAAGGATGCTTGTTGCATAGTTTTCTTTGTGCTATATTCAAATTTCTTACAGAATAACTGCTTTGAATTTGTAGAATGAAAGTCTTGCTGCAAAGAAAAAAAGGGGAAAAAACAGATATGGAGCCCTGCAGGATCTGTTTCTGAGAATTCTTCCAGGGACCTTGCACTCGGATTTTTATTCCAAGTCATAAACAACAGAAATAAGCTTCAGAGATCTGTGAAAAAATATTCTTTTGATGAAATGAGATACAGAGAGAGAAACAAGAGAGAAAGCAGCAGAGGTTCAGTCAGGCTAGCGAGGCTGCTACAGAGAGAATACCACTGCTGCAATTCAAATGTGCCTCCAGTGATTGTGTGTCTTTGAACATAGTGTGTCAGTGTGTGTTTGTGTAAATGCATACCTTTTAGAAATGGGTTCAGTTTTGTGTGCAGAACTTTGTGCATTCGAGAGCACCTTTGTTTGTCTTTGTTTTGGCATTTGCATGCTGCTATTTTAGCTTTAATGGAAACACACATTCATCTTGGTGTGTGTGTATGTGTGTGTGTGTACGTGTGTGCTCTTTATTCTGAATTATAAACACGTGACTGGGTTGAGCTTGATGCATCCAGCCAGAAATCCCTCCGGTCGTTGTGGAGCTGAAGTGTTACTACAGAGCTGCAGAGAGAGCGAGAGAAAACCGGGAGAGAGAGTTAACCAGAGAGACTGATGGAAAATAGGCTGGAAATAATAATCTCATCCACATGCACATGTTTTACTTTGATTTTAATTTGTGCTCAACAGAAACGGAGAACAGCTCAGAGGGAGGCGACGCAGAAAAACATGGATGCAGCTGTGGTTTTGCAAAGCATCCTGGTGATAGTTTTCATCTGCTGCAAAGCATGAATTATCACCCTGCGTCTCTTTGTTGAAAGGAAGTAAAAAAAAAACGACAAATAGTCACATAATGTTGGAGGTTAAGTGATAGTGAAAGTTTTGACTTCCATATGAACATTAAAAAAAATCCAAAAGAGTCAGTGGAGCTTCAGGCAAAAAGTCTGAGCCCTGTTTTATAGGTGTAGATGAGTTTGAGAACGATGAAGGTGTCTGTCTCTTTAAATGGAGATTTTCCTAAAGGAGCTATCCTTTCAGATACAATAACTAAATACCCTGCCGTGTAAGGTGACTGTAACTTAAATCCTCATCAGCATTCTGCTGTTGGGTCTACACAATACTGACCATTTTACAGCTAAAACACATCAAATATAGTGCCTTTAATCAAAAACGAAGGTGCTACATACAACCACTAAACATGATTTTATCCAAAAATCTAGTACTTATTGTAATAAACTTATAAACCACACATAAAAATCTAGGCGGATCCTAAATGAGCTAAATGCTAAATGAGAGAATCAAAGTTTCTTACAGCAGTAGACTAAAGTGGTCAGTAAAGGAATAAAATTTGGTTGGACTTTGGGTTAAACTGAAAGTATTGGTTTTATTCCAAAGCCTTTGGCGTCTCCTGCTAAGCTGGGCATTTTCATACATCTTTCCCTGGTGCTTCATTCAATACCACAAAGAGAGGCTGGCAAAATGCATGGGCTGTAACACACTTTTAAGAAATGAATATGAATTCATCTGCTGCTAATTTATGATTTATGCGAAGCAAAGAAAAAATAATCTACTTTGTTATTGATATTTACTATTATTGTCTAATGGGTTTCAGGCTTTAATGATACATTTGAACCAGTTTTTCAGATAGTAATGATTAAAACAGAAAGATTTTCAAAACAAACATGGGATGCACAAGGTTTTCTCTAAAGTTTACCTACACCTTTAAGTAGTATCTGGTTATTGTTCCTTAAGTTTCAACTCCATCACATGCTTTTTGTTACCATCTGCAAGCCACTGCACCTTTTGCAGTCAGGTAGACGTTTTTAACTCTTAGAAATCTGTGATAACTTTCAAACACGTTTGTTTCTGTGGTGCTGGCGTTGTACAGAATGGATTCAATAATAAATTGTTTAAGCTTTCCTGAGATTAACAACTAGATAGTTCTGTCTATAGCTCCAAAAGGAAAGTGAACTGAACTGCTTTTACAGTGGAATTAATGATTGCACTGTA